TGTTCGCAGACAGATCGTCCGTGGCTTTTAGCCGCAGGTGCGTCGACCCGCAGTGGCAAGCAAAGGGGACTAAGCAGGCTGTGGCAGTGGGGAAAGGAAGCTTTCGATGTTGCATAAGTAGAAGACGCAGTCGGCAATCATTCTTGGCAAAGGTGGCAATCGTATCATCCTTGGCAAAGGCCTGAGTTGTGCATAACCCTTTGGGCGGGAACAAGGCCGATTCCAATGCAACAGTAGGAAAGCGTTGTGGTGGAGTCGACACACGAGGTTTCGCTGGCCTGCGGTGGGGCGCGAAAGTGTCGAAGCAATGTGCTAGGCAAAGAGCGATAGACTCGCTGCCACAGATCAAGTACATGTTGCGAGACTGAGCGGGTTCGCACGCATGCAATAACAGGCCGAAGGCCGCCATATTCAGCGACAAACCGATGTAGATGAAAAAGCAGGTAACAAAGTGCTACCCCTGCACTGCGGGAAGGCACCCCACGCCAATTGATCTCAGGGGCTGCAGAAACCCACAAAGCTATCCAAGTAAGGTGAGCAACCTGGCAGAAAGAGAGCCAGTGGTCGATCGAGTTGGCTCCTTGTTGACATAGCACACAGGGGGCATAAGAATCCCGTGCCCGGCATCCTTCAGAAGTGGGGAGCCGGGAGACCGCTGGGGGCAGCCGAGAAAGAGAAGGCGTCGCAAGCTTATGAAATCGCACGAATGCAACACAGTCCTCTGGAAGGTCGTGTAAAGTCAGATCCCTCGCTGTAGCCGGCAAAAAGCAGGATGGGCACTGTGCCCCATGGGAAGCCAAAAGTCTGCGTCCTCTCCTAACGCCCATCGAAGGACTGCATAACGTGGCACTGCCCCAAACCCAAGGAATTCAGCAGAGGATGGAGCCGATTGGTCAAATGCAAATGCGAAGTTTCCAGAAGACGGGCGATGGCAACTTGCTTGAAATGCTGTTTAAAGCGACTTGCTCTTTGCGCAGGCGTGTCAGCCTGACGCAAGATGAGCATGAGACGCTTTATGTCCTCAGCAGGGAGTTGCGTTTGCCAGTAGTTCCAGCACCGTCGTATTTGTTCAGCATAGGAACCCTCATGTTCTTCGGTAAAGGATGTATGACCCTGTCGGAGGTAACATCCAAACAGAGATATCGCCTGCATAACTGCCGGATCAAGCAATGGCCCTATTTTTAACCATCGACAGAGACCTACCAGCAGGCGTTGCGGGAACCAATGACGTCGCAGTAAAAAGTTGGCCATGGCTTGGTAAAGCGGTTTCAGCAATGTGGGATGAAAGTAACGGTGAGTTTGTGAATAATAGAACAGGCTCAGCGAGAAGGTGTTGAAGTAGATGATTTTTGTATGAACGCTGAGGTTAGCTCTGTCTGCTGCTGCAAGCCTTGTGCGGAATTTGGCAATCTGTTTGGACAAGAGGGCCGTCACAGATGTTTGCCTTGGAGTCTTAAGCATGACATCACTCGTGAGTTGACATGTCCACCCAGTATAGAGCGTGAGGCCCAAATTAACTGTGGATGGCACTATGCACTGGCCGCCAAGACCTGCTTGATCAAGACGATACAGCTGACTGGAAGTGTATTCCGCATGAGTGAGTAAGTGCGTCTTTGATCGACACTGGCATGGGCTCGCTGCTAAGCGGCAGAGCAAGGGGTGACCTGCTAATGGTAGATTTGGAATGTCAGTAGAGGACATATGTATGCAGTGGTCACCATGTCTAAGGACAAAGTGACGTGCATAGCTAGGGACCTGCTGGACGGCCGCACTGCACGTGGCTAGCCCTTTCTCATGGATAGGGGTTACTTGATTCCAACTTTAAGTAAAGTATTTTCTGCGAGGGCTTGGCTGGAGAAGCCAACCTGCCAACAGTCATGCGTGTCCATGACAATACCAGCTGTCTTCCACGCGCGAACATGCTTGAAAACCTCTTCTATCCACTGAGGGTCCTCTTGATGTCCTACAATAGTAGCGTCGTCAACGTAACCAGCGACCACAAAGACCTGTGGGATTTGATTGAGCACGACAAAGATTGGATCCATAGCCAGGCAAAAGAAATAGACCGACGTGGACCTCCCCATGTCGACACCGGAATGCACATTCCGCGCAGGCAAGAGCCGTCCCTGAACCTTATGACGAATGCGTCTGCCAAAGAGCAGGTATCTTGCCAGTTGGAGGACCCACGGGGTGCACTGACGAATTCGAAGAATATGGAGTATCCAGTGCGCGTTTACCCGCTCAAAAGCCTGAGACAGGTCGGCAAAAAGCGCTGAGGCAGGCGTGGAACCTTCTAAGGCTCCTTGAACTTCTAGTACCGCCCTCTGGGGTTCTCGAAAGGAGTTTAAGAGAGTTTGGGCCGGATGAAAACTGTGTCGCGTGATGCGAAAGAGAATGGCAGCAGCTGTGCCATCTTGCAGTCTGTCTAAGGTATCCGGCATACCTAGAGGACGAAAGAAATCCACCATGCACCCCTGTTTTGCTTTGGGGATCCACACTCCAACCTGAGTGGGTGGCGCTAATGTATCAGCCAGGATATGATGAAAATCATCACTTAGAATCTTAGCTGTCTGCTGCGGGAACACGCGCCAGAGGGCATAGGGTAGCCCGTCAGGGCCTGGTGCCGAGTCCTTGGTGAGCAGGAGATGTTCAATGTAATCTTGTTCTGTAGGCTCAGGTAGAAGGTGCCCCTAGGACAATCTGTCTTGAGCCTGTCCCAAAATAATTTCTGCCTTTGTGTCCTTTGGGAGGGGGTCTGTGCTTTCTGTACCAATCGGTAAGTGTACATTTGCCGCAGTTGCGACCTCCGCCGCCTGTAGCGCTGCCGCTATGACAGTGGTTGGTAGTTCCCTGTCCCAGTTTGCTGCCCCCCAGTTCCCTGTCCCAAGTTCCCTCTCCCCATGCCCAAGTTCCCTGTCCCAGGTCCCTGTCCCCAGTTCCCTGTCCCAAGTTCCCTGTCCCCATTTCGACTTGAGGCTCTACATACAGTAGGTCAGCCTCGTCTGAGATCCGCCTGTAGGCCTTGATCAGCGACTTGATGTTCTACATATTAGTTGGAGATCCACCTGCAGGAGAATAAAATCAGGCCACCCTGCTCAATGTTGGTGTCCCAGCTCAAGCTTCCGAAAAAGAACGAAATTGCTGATCGAGCAGATCTCAGACGAAGCATTAAGAAAAAACAATCACCCTGCTCAATGTTAATGTCCCAGCTCAAGCTTCCGAAAAAAAAACGAAACTGCTGATCTCAGACAGAGCTGATCTCAGACGAAGCATTAAGAAAAAATCAGCCACCCTGCTCAATGTTGGTGGTATCAAAGTCAAATCAGGAAGCATGAAGTGAAAACGCCGCCCTCAAAGACGCAGCATTAAATCATTAGTGGTTAAGTGAAAACGCCGCCCTCAATGATGAATTAACAAAAGCGTGGGTTACAGAACGCTGCCAGAACATCGTCTCCTGCAAAGCAGCTGACTTGGGGCCATCATTGAGGGCGGCGTTTTCACTTAACCCCTAATGACTTAATGCTGTATCTTTGAGCGCGGCGTTTTCACTTAACACCTAATGATTTAATGTTGTATCTTTGAGGGCGGCGTTTTCACTTAACCCCTAATGATTTAATGTTGTATCTTTGAGGGCGGTGTTTTCACTTAACCCCGAATGATATAATGTTGTATCTTTGAGGGCGGCGTTTTCACTTAACCCCTAATGATTTAATGTTGTATCTTTGAGGGCGGCGTTTTCACTTAACCCCTAATGATTTAATGTTGTATCTTTGAGGGTGGCGTTTTCACTTCATGCTTCCTGATTTTATTCTCCAACTATGTAAGCCCTCAAGTCGCTGATCAAGGCCTACAGGTGGATCTCAGACGAAGCTGATCTCCAACTATGTAGAACCTCAAGTCGCTGATCAAGGCCCGCAAGGGAATTAGGGAAAAGGAACGGCTTGGGGACAGGGACCTGCAGAGGGAACTCAGGACAGAGGGAGGGAACTGGGGGCAGCAAACTGGGGACAGGCAACTTGGGACAGGGAACTGGGGACAGGGAACTGGGGGCAGGGAACTGGGACAGGGAACTGGGGGGGGCAGGGAACTGGGCGCAGCAAACTGGGGACAGGGAACTTGGGACAAGGAACTCGTCTGCATTTCACGCACTCGGCGCGCGATCTCCGCAGAGGGTTGCCCGCGACAAAGCCAAATCACACTCTCGCCTGCATTTCGCGCGCTCCACACGCACGATCTCCGCAGAGGGTTGCCCGCGACAAAACCAAATATCGCACTCTCGCCTGCATTTCGCGCACTCGACACGCACGATCTCCGCAGAGGTTTGCGTTTCGTGGTGCTCCGGCGGTACTGCCCCGGGCCTTAAGAGAGAGTCAAGAAGAGCGAGAGGTGAAGATGTGAGATGTAGATGAGAGGTAAAGATGTGAGATGTAGATGTGAGGATGTGAAGATGAGATACAGGTTAAGATGTAGATGAGACGATGTGAAGATGTAGACGAGACGATGTAGTTCTGCAGATGTTTCTTTACGAAGAACCCTTCGCAGGCGCTCTCGGGAACAAAAACAACGTTGGGCAATGAATTAGAGTAAAAAGGCAACGAGATTGGCCATCCTCATAGCACTTGGTCAATCGGCCTGCTTAAGCAGGCTGTGTCATCGAGCACTAATGAGCTGCGCTCTCCGTACTCATTTGTGGAATGGCAGTCGAAGAAAGCGCTTGAAGAGGCACGGGCAAACTAGTCGGGCAAAATGTGACAAACTGCGCTTGAGACAAAGTGTATTCAAAGGAAAGGTGCATATGTCCTCATCTGCTCATGATTTCTGGCCCTGAAAAACCACTATTAACAAGCCAGCTCTAACGCGCCAAGCGAGAGGGCGCATCATTGTCAGTGCAGCCTTTCGTTGTTGTTCGATGTGTTTGACTGTCTATGGGGTTGATGGAGAGCTACGTAAGAACTCAGCGGTCCATTGCTTTGTCATCAGGTGAAAGCGAGTACGTAGCAATGGTTGGAGGCTGCAGCGAGGGACTATTCATCAGGCACTGTTGGAAGTTCCTGACCAACGAGGATCTGGAGATGGTGTGCCGCAGTGACTCGTCCGCGGCTAGATCCCTTGCAGGTCGAGTGGGTGTCGGACGAACACGACACATTGCTGCAAGACTCCTATGGCTTCAACAGAAAGTGAGTACCAAAGAGTTGAGGGTCACTGGAATTCCTACAGCAGTCAACACTAGTGACATCGGCACAAAGATCCTGAGCAAAGCAAGGATGAGTGGATTGAAGTATCTCATCAAAATGATCAACGGGGATGACGAGAAGATTGGGTATGCCGAGTACCAGGAGATAAAGATGAAGGAGGAGCTGAAGAAGAACACGGGCAAGATGGCCAAGAGCTTGGGAGCAAATGCAAAAGTGGCAGTGGTGATCGCACTATCCCTGCTGCAGAGTGGCCAGAGTGCAGAAGTTGGAGAGCATGAGACTGAAGAGAACGAGGGCACGGAGGCATGGTGGGTTCGGCTACTGATCACCGTGATCTGTTTAGCAGGCCCCAAGGGAGCTTGGCACGGATGACTATGCAGATGCTACAGGCATGGTGAGACCACCAACAACCCGTGCAACGACAAGGAGAAGTTGGAGACAATGATGCGGATGGCCCGCATGTGAGAAGGGAAGTACAAGAAGTCACAAGCCAGCATGAGCAGTCACAATACGAGAATGACCCTGAGAAAGTGAACATGCAATGGCAGATAGTGCACCTGGAAGTGGCTGTGGCTGAACAAGAAGAGAAATTGAAAGAAGCTCGAGATGAACGTGATCGTCAATCACGTGAAGTGGTGAGGATGTACAACATGTGCGCCGAGCTACGCTTTGAGCTCGAAGTAGTGAAGGAAGAAAGAGATGAAGCAAGGAAGAAAGCCATCCGAGTGGCCGGAAACGATGACGAGCGAGCCCAAGAGATGGAAAGGATGTCAGAAGATGTGGCTCGAGCATGGGAAGTCACTGAAGAGTGGAAGAAACGAGCCAAAGAATGTGAGAAACAAGCACAAGATGAACTGAGGAGACGCCTGCAGGAAGCCAAGTTCACCTTAGATCGAAGAACAATTTCATCGAAGATGATAGTCCCTTCTTTCGAATAACTTTTTCTACCTGCGTTGATGTTGTGTACCTTTAAACTACTCTATGCATGTGCCGCTCGATGTGTTGGTTCGTAGCGAGCTGCAGGCTTGACTGCAGGACCGAACTTGCTGGACATGACATGAACATGAGTTCAAGAACTTAACAAGGCAAATTCACGTGCAGGCATACACACGTTCTGTTGATTATTTGTCTGAGGGAGAGGAACGCGATGTCCTCCCTATTTTGACGCCTGTTCGTCTTGGACGCAAAGATCTGTTTTCGTGTGACTGGCAGTACCTGGATAGACTTGCCTGACTTTCATGCCGGAGCCCTGATGGGCAGAGAGATTCCCCAACGCCTGAGGTACAAAAAGAAAGAGCGCGAGCTGTTCAGTGTGTTTTTCAGATTTTTTTGAAATATGAGATTAGTGCCTTATGGCTCTGATTCGGGGAAAAGCTTACGAGAAAGAAAGCTATGGCACATTGGCAGGACCAGCTCATGTTATCATGAGGAAGGATGTGGACATCTCGTGAACAGCACGAGCATCCGGTCGTTGAAGCCATGTGCACGCTGTGTACCAGATGCCATGGGGACGGTGCTAAACTTAAGTCAGAGTTCAATGGACTAATTGCAACTGGTACATGGTGGACATACCATAGGTATACGCTATGCACATAGGCCCAAGCTGAGCGGTCAAAACCGGGGCGCACCGCTTTTCACATTGCAAAAACGTTGGATGCGAATTTACGCTGTCAACAGTCATCACTTTCAACAAATGGATTGAGAATGGAAAAAGTCTTTCTCTCTTCTCCGAACAATGAGACGACTTCAGGCAGTGAACGTGAAGGCGGAGATTGTCAACGAAGGGCCAAGGAATGAAGATGCCAGGAAGCGAGGATCCAGATGCATGGATTGATTTCAACTACCCTGTGGAAGATGGAAGAGAAAGTCATGGGTAAGAATGACGGTGAAGGAAACGATGGTTGAAGACCGATGACTTCTTCAAGTTCGATCAGCGTTTGAGCAATGCAGTTTGAAAGCTGAAAATATTCTGTTCACGGTGCTGGAATTTTGGAATGTGAAGTTTGGCCTCATTTGTTTCATGAACCCTGAAGGTGGGGTGTCAGTTGTCAGTAAAGAGTGCATGGCCCCTGCACAGGGATGAAACGCACAGAAGAGAGAACAGTGAAGATCTTATCGTGACACAGTGGCTCAAAGCAAGTTCCAAAAAGTCGAGTTTCGTGAGAGCAACGCAACCACAAACCCAAACACGGAATCACAAACACACCACAAGTATCCACAAGCCACAAACACAACCACATCACACAACCACAAAGACACATTTACAGCCCACAGCACGCAACCACAACCACACAAACCGAGGACCCACAAAGAAAAGGGTTCGTAGGAGACTTCCTCAAAAGTCATCAAGTCTCCAAAAGGAACGTTTCGTGCGAGACGTCTTCCACAAGTCACACGTCAAGTCTCCAAAACAAGTGTTTCGCGCAAGATTTCCTCCAAAGCACACGCGTGAAGTCTGCAAAACGAGCTCCAACAGTCACAGGTCAAGCCTCCAAAACGAGCGTTTCGCGCCTGCCACGAAAAGTGACGATATGACAGGTTCAGTCATGTTCATGTTTTGGTCTTCGGCAAAATGTGCACCACGCCAAACGTGTGGAATGATCTCGACACGTTTGAACACACTCACATCCACCAAAGTCGCACGACAAAACTGTCACGAAAACACATCTTTGAAGCAACACCCTAAAAGCAAATCCCAATGTCACAGCCACACCCAACACCTCAAACATACCACCCTCTTGACGCCAATCCCAATCTGACAGCGCTAAAGACTGATAATTTCACAAAAAACTGCACCTGGCAGCAAAATCAGCCTTTACACTTCAGCCTGGCTTCCACACGTTTCCTCGCTATTTCACACGAATCTGACACGCCATGCTTTCATCCAAAACTTTCGCCAAACGCTTCGCCCAATGTCAGCGCCATAGCGCTCCACCGCGAACGGTTGGGAACGCTACGACAACGAGTCGCGAACAAGAGCCTGCCCCTAAACCCGCGAGTTAAACGAGAACCCTGTTATTGTCGACTACAGCAAGGCAATCAAGACGAACAAACTTCTACTGCACTGGATCTGTTTGTTTGTTTGTTTGGTTGGTTGGTTGGTTGTTACTTTACAAACTAATTGTTGTTAGTTATTGTATGGTGGTGGGAAGCGTATCGTTGAAGTAGTGTGTCTTGTTGTGGAAAACTATCTGTGTGTTGTTGTTCCAAGGTTCGGTGCAGTGCAAGGATATCGCATGCAGTGCGGCGACTTTTGTACATGGGCTCATGCTGCAGAACTATTTGGTTCAAGGGTTGCTCAATGATTCGGCATGGCAGAGGCAGTGATTGCTGTTGTACTGCTCGGTTGTTGACATGTCAAGTTGGCAGGTAGAATTTGTCCCGCTCACTCATGAGCTTGCATCCTAGTACAGTGATGCTTGAAATTGTACAAAGTGTATTTGCACTAAACCAGGATATTGAGTCAGAGTTTGTCTCAAATCGACAGAGCTGTAAGAGCCTCAGTGATTCATTTCGGCAAATGAAAACTACAAGTTCCTGGTCAAAATGCGTGGATTAGTTCTACAGATTTGCAGTTCACTCTGGAGGTAGGTGGTGGCTTTGCATTCACCAAACTGGATTGCTCCAACAAGGCTGTTCGTGAAACGAGAGCACCAGATGTTTCACTTTGGACTGATGTGGAGGAGTTGACAGATCTTGGGAACAAAGTGGACAGTTACACACAGACCTGCCCTCGGAGTTGTTTTGGAACATTTTCTTCAGTTCTTGAATTTTTATTTGGAGTAGAGGCTTCGTCATATTATTTTGTCGAACAACAAGCCGTGCACTAAGTTAGCATTGTTGGCATTCATAAAGTATAGATCTCCATGTTGTTGGTGCTGCCGAGGCTAAGCAATATTGAGGCAGTCACGAAGTTGCCTCATGTGCTGACCCTGCAACTGGACAACAACGAGGCGGTCATTTGGATTGACGGTTGAATCGATGTTTAAATTTTGACGGTGCCAGCCTTTCATCCGGCTTTCATCTAGAGCGCTGCAGCCATGATTGGTTCAAACTCTTTCATGAACTTTCATGTCATCGCTTGTGCAGTGTGAATTTCAAACTCCTCGTTGATCATTTGCATTTTTTTTCTTGCAATGATACTACTCCTTCAGAGAAAGAAGCGTGTTGACTGAGAAACATCTCTCATTGTTGACAGTGGGTATGTGTTCCGATCGCTGAGCCGGCGACAGTCGACGACAGTTGACAGGCGTGCTTCTGTTGACTTCAGACATATATATATATATACAATTTTCCATTTTATCATCTCTTATCAACGTATTTCCTTTTATTGAATATCATGTCTTATTCTGGAATTGATCAGTCTTGGTAGGGTGGAGATGAGAGACCAAAAGACTAGCAGCTGTCTCGCAGCCTGGTGGCCCTAATGATACTGTTCATTCTTCTGGACTTTGGATTGTCCGATCATTGAGGCTAATCTCTGATGACCAAAGTGCAGGTGGGATCCCAAAGTGCAGTTTGTGTTGGTTGTGAGCCTTGACATGGGAGGATTATGAAAATCTTTGCAGAGTTCCCCAAAACAACCTGACGGCCCCTTTGTTTTGCCAGTTTGCTCATGTCAGCCGATCCAGCTGCTTTACAAGCTTTGGCATTATCCTCAGCTTGTGTGACCTGGCAACTGTTCGCTTTCTCTTCAACCAAGGCTGTTCGAACAAAAGTGCATTTGCGCTACTTCGAGCTTGCCATGCGGCCCAACTCGAGATGCAAGATGCAACATTGCAACATTTCTTTCCACATCACATGCAGATAATAAGAGTCAACAGCCTTGGAGTCCTCACTTTTGTGCTTTGGACCTTCCGCGCATTTCCAGGTGAAATTTACAGCAGCAGGTCACAACGTAACGTGAGAGGCATAGCTGACATAGCTGGTTTTTGAAAATTGGCGCCTCTCTCTAACTCCTGGCTCGGGTTAAGGTGCTTCCTGGCTGTTGGGAAGCATGCACTTTTCTTGGTCCGCCGAAATCTGGGTGGGTCTTCGCCTCACAAAGACCAGGTAGAGTCTTGAGTGGAGACTCTTCAAGACCAGGTAGCTACCAACTGACGTCCGTAACCAGTGTCCTCACTCGAGGCTTTACCCCAATGACAAAGGCCGGGTTTGGGTGAGAAGGAAAGTCGAATCTGTAACGAGACGCAAACCGCATCAGGCCAATGCACAGCACATGCTTTAGGATTGTGTGTCTACTTGGAGCCTTAGAGCTGCAAGTGCATCTCACGGCAGGTGGTGAAATCTACTTTGCCTTTATTAGCTCGATGGTTGAGGCACGAATGCCGACAATCAAGTTGAGTTTCCCAAACAAGGAACCAAATCATAGAGCCTCAGGCTTCGGAGCTTCCTTGAAGAAGCCTGAGTAATCTGCATCCAAGCCTGGTATTTTCCTAGCTAAGTAGCTTACCTCCTTAACTCACTGATGCTACTTGTTACCTCGGCCTACCTCCCCCTCACCTGGAGAAAAATGAACATGCCGACCTGCGTGGCCTGGATGACGCTCACCCGTCGAGCTGCATGGCAGGATTCGGACAATGCAACGGATCTTCTGCTTTTGCTAAGCCGCGAAATGCAGAAGCGAAATGACCAGATGAAAGTGGCACCATGATCACACTCAGTCTGAGGCGAATCTGGGGCACTTGCATGGAAGAGCGAGAAGCTTTTCGCCGCAAGCTCGCTTGAACGCTTTGGATGCGTTCAGACGATCGGGCCAATGCTCGGAGTGAGGTCTCCTGTGAAAACAGGCATGCCTTGGCCCAAAGAATCCAGGCTCGAAACACCATGGACTCTGTTTTGTGGAAACAAAGTGGAACAAATCGGACATTGGCTGCTTGACATTCTGTTGTGAGGTCGCTTGGAACACGGACTACATCTT